ATCCAAACGAAAATATCTTCCCTCCGTAGTATTTTGATAATTTGCTCCGCTAATAATCAATCAGATCGATGGATTCCAGAGAAGAGAAAACTTTGAAGGCCTTTTTCTCAAAATGATGACTCGGTGACAGTCATTATATAATGTGACATATTTCGCTTAATATTTGGAGTACAAAAACAATCCTGATATCATTAGAAAGCTAGGAATATCCTCTTTCCAGCAGTGTATACAACTCAAGATGTGTCTTCGGGTCAATGCGACTGATTTCGATGGAGCAGGTCACATAAGTTGGTATGCAATTTATTTTACTGCAACCTATCGTTAAGCAAATTAAAGCCCAAAAAGTAAATGATCAACCAGAGGTCCTAGAAATCCCTGTTGATCAATTAAGTATTTCAACAAAGAGAAAATAGTTTAACATAGGTGTGTCTGGCAGAGCCTACATCACATAAAATGATAATTGACTTCCTGTTCATAGTAGTGGGTGGATTTCTGTTTCGTTATCCTGGGCACACCTGGGTTATTTCTCATATTCTCACCTGAAGAAAAAAGCTTTAAAGGAAGATCAGGTTACAACCAAACTTAACAGACGCCAGTAAAAGATTACATTTGATGCTAAGATGGGCTGTTTCAGTAGTTTGATATCGATTAAACTTCACATATGAGAGTAGTTTGGAAACTGCAGGTGATAGTTTGTGTCTGTCAATGAGGTCATGTCTTTGGTCTGTAATGTGGGTCCGTTTGTTTGGATATCTCAGAAACAAACCAGATTTCATTAAAAAAAAATAAGGTCATGTGTCAAGAAGGAAACTTTTAAATAAACGTTTTTATGACATACTTTTATTCTATACTAATGAAAAGTACTTTGCACATCCCAAACTGATCTCATATTAAATGCAGATCTGGATAAAAATCCGGACTAACCTTTTATACAAAAACAGTTGTTTTTATAAGTCATCACTCATCAGTGTAGAGGGCAGTGCTACATCTTTGGAGTGCTTTCTATTATTTTAGAATATGTTCTGTCTGTTAAATGAATTGTTTTCACATGTTGATGGATGGGAACTTGTCTAGAGAACATTTCAATCACTGCTGTAATCCCTGTCTATTTCTTTATCTTCAAATTGTAATTGTACATCCTCTGGCATTGAATGAACATTTATTTATCTGAATGAAAATGAAATGTGGGTCATTGAATACGTTTTTGAAACAAATTCGGATAATCGGGCAAATCATGTGCATCAGAATGAAGAGTTGTTACTATCAAAAGTTTAAAATCATTCACGCCGGATTGTATAGGCAACATTTTAAACCAAACATTTGAATGAAGTGAAATGTGCACCCAGAGAGAAGGGGCAGATAAAACAAGAGCCCAGCCATCAACAAACAACACTTGGGTGTAAATTGAAAATGCTGTATATCTTGTTCTAACTCAAATGTTCTCGATGGTTTTCTTATCTCCTTAATGACAGAGATTGTCTACCCGATCAAAACGTTTGGGTCCTCACTTGATTTATCGCTCATTTCTTCCTGGTTAATGCTCTGTGCTTAACAGGGGCCAACAGCAGGTAGTTTTTTTCCCCTGTATGTTCTTTGAATTGATTTCCATTTGCAACTCACTGCAGTTTGCTGTGATTTACCTGTGATCCGTGATTTAGATGCTCAGAAATATCTATCACAAATCAGCAAAAATGTCTTATTTACTGCCGTATGCCTGATCGCAGCATTACAAGTTGTTTCCATTTCCTGACTCAACTTTGGTATTACTAAGTGAGGGCATTTAGTGGACAGGTGAGGAATCACAGGGTAATATTCATTGAGGACAGCTCCTTCATATTGCCTCTATTTGTTTTTATATCTGCCTTGTTTTGGAGTTCAGCACACTGATTTTAGTTTTGAATGACTTCACCACTTAGAGGGTGTCTGGTGTACCAGTGGAGCAGTCAGCCATGAAAGCTGGATGTTAAAGTGAGATAGGCCACAGGCAATAACAAAGGAAGGAGCGCTTAACATGAACCATGCCCAGTGGATGTAGCTGATACCAGAACTCAGGGGGTTTCCTTTGGTTCTTTCATTATGATGACACAGAGTGGTTTTTCAGCGGCCTCTCTTACTATTTTACTAAATATTGACACTGCATTCAGTGGAGCATGGCATTCCAGTCTACAACCTGTAGAAACGTTGTTTTTATATACTGCTGGAAAACAGAGAGACATTTTAACATTAGACAGTGTTGAGATCAGTCGGGGGGAAATCCCTAGTTAAGTTCCAAATGACAAAGATAACAATGAAGGTCATGATAACATGATAGAGTAATAATAGTTAATTAGTTTGAAAACAATGTAATGCACTCTTTGATGAGAGTTAAATGAGAGTGTACCCCAGCAAAGTTTATTTGAAGCCGCGTCTAGCAGCCAGATAAACTTAGCATGAAGTCTGCAGGGGAAACAACAAGTGGCTCAAACCTAAACATGAAATAAAAAAATGACCATTCCCTGTGCCAGAGGGTTTGTGCAACTTTCTCTTTACTAGGACCAGGAGATCAAACATGTAGCTAAGCAAGATTTTAAAGGACATAGTAAGATCTTTGGAAAAACAACAAACCTGGCATTTTCGAGTCTTAGCTAAGCTAATCCGCAGCGAAGAGTGGTATCAGTAATATCAGAATTATTGATACAAGAAAAAAAGTGTTGTTTTCGTAAAAATAGCTATTTTTCCAGAAATGTAAGTTTGACAGAAACATCAAAAAGTTACCTAAACAGGATAATCAATGCCTTTCCTGTGTTTAAAATGGTTCAGGATAATTATACCTGTCCACGGCCCACTGACATCTCTTTGACCAAAATAAGTAGCCTCTACCGGCCCTAGAAGCCGGGCTCTTTAGCTGAGTCATTGCTCTGAAAGCTGTGTACACACAGACACAAAGACACAGAGCAAACTGAAATCTGACACACAGCTCAGAACCACAGATGTTACAAGACTGAATAATTTACATCTGTTGCCGGACTTTGATCCCACTTTTACCCATTTGATCAAGAGCCTGTTATACTCACAGGGTAGGATCAGACCAGGGAATTTCTAATCCATGGCTCCAGGAATCCCTTTTATTCGAGTTTGCTTGACTCCATCTTTGCCATCATAACCAGAGATGAACCCGCAGTAGCCTACATAGACTGCACCCAAAACTTTAACCCTTGACCCAAATTATTGACCCTATGGCAGAGATTGCGTAGCAGTTTTAGGAAGTAAAGTGTACACATGTTCCCCCACATCTGTTCTTATTTCTGCCGAGTCGTGTCTCACTTTGTGTCCCCTCCATACGTGTCACTCTGCAGGTGTTGGTCTGGCCACAGTTTTCATTTCCTTTGTGTTCTGCACCTACTACAATGTGCTCATGAGCTGGGCACTGTTTTATTTATTCAACTCGTTCGGGGCGACGCTGCCCTGGACTTCCTGCAACAACACCTGGAACGTTGTCGAAAACTGTTCCAGTGGTTTCCCCGGCAACACCAGCCACCTGCAGTCTGCCAGCCAGCAGTTCTTCGAGTGAGAAATATACCTTATTTAATATATATTTTTATTATATTAACAGTATGTATTGCAATATTCAAGCTGTTTTTTTAACATGCACTGGAGGAAATAGCCGTTTCTAGATGATTTTCATAGAGGGCCCCTAAAAAACGTTTTATTGGTTGTCAATCATGAATAAAACAAGGAAACCCGTTCATATGTCCAAAGACAAACACACAGGCTGACCACATACAGTAACATGTAATAATGACTGAATTCATTTAAAATGGTTGACAACAATACAGAGAAATATCTATTTTAAAAACAGCAAAGTAAGTAGAGTAAAAATAGAAATTGAGCAAAAAGGATATGAAAAAAAGCTTCTCAGAGATGACTTATTACAGACATTTTAATAAATTCACTATATTCATAGAGGACATCATTCAAGGTTCAAGGTTCAAGGCTTTTATTTGTCATATGTACATAGCTACAGTGTAGTTATGTCGAAGAATAATATTAGGTCACAGGCTCCTCCAACAGTGCAACACAATAAAACTGAAAAAATAGGGCAAGTAAATACAAAACAAATTGTGAAATAGTGCAATAAGAGTCTATATACAATTGGAATATGATATATTGGATACATAATATGTAAGTTGCAGCCAGATGAATGTTATGGATGTTCTTTCAAAAGTTGAATATATTGTTAAATATAGTATTACTGTGGAGCAATATGAGTTGTTTTTGTCTGTGCTCTTCACTGGTGTATAGTTTGTGGTGCTTAGATGGAAAAACATTGCTAACGTTTCTACACCAATCAGGATTCAGCAACAACATTTCATTGATAGTTTTTGGTTTGTATGCCACTTAAGTCCTGATGAAGGGTTACGGTTTCCCAACTTGAACTATAGTTTACCTCTTTTTAGATTTATGTTTTCAGGGGCTTCTAGGATACAATATGGAAATGACTTTCTGTTTGTATTTTCACATTTATCCATTATTCTCGTCTTTCTCTTCCAGTCAAAGACTTTTGCAGAAAACGAATGGCATTGAAGAAAGTGGCGGCGTGCGCTGGGAGCTCTTTGGCTTTCTCATTCTTTCCTGGGTCATTGTGTATTTGTGCATATTTAAAGGAGTCAAATCGACAGGCAAGGTCAGAACATTTACTCATGCACATTGGTAATTATTCCTAATGTTGTGCCTGTGTCAATTGTATTTGTAATTGTTTGATAACTTTCTGTCCTTCTGATATTTTATCACAATTTATGATTATAATTCAGCAATTTTGAGGCATAGATAATGAGGTTTATAGGAAAGGTGTTCATTTTCATGCTGATTAAAGGGATATGTTGTCTGTTGTTCATAGGCTTAGTTATTATATGTTTTCAGAATTTAATTAAAAATAACATGCTTGTTAGTGTTTAACTATACACATTTTTGTGCACCTTTTCGTTAGTATGTCATTGTAAAAGAGCCTCAGTAACTAACGGTTGCTACGCCGCCTACACAACACAAACCAACACATCCATCAATGTCTGCTTCTTTCTGTTTGTGTCCCACAGGTCGTGTATTTCACCGCTGTTTTCCCGTACTTCATTCTGTTTGCCCTGCTCATAAACAATGTGCAGCTCCCTGGAGCCAAGAATGGCATCCTCTACTTTGTGACACCCGTCTGGGACAAACTGTTTGAAGTGAAGGTGAGACTGTTAATGAGCGAGTGCAAAAAGTAATATGAACTGTAAGACTTTGGTTACACATTGGCATCACATTGTTGAAATCAACTTTTGGTTTTCAAATTAAATGAATTATAATTCTTTGTTGGATCAAATATATCTTTACTGTGTATGTCAGAGAATGAGGAATTATATGGATTCCATTAAGCTTTTTTCTTGTGTTTGCTCAAGCCTCAAGCTTATCTACATTACATTACATTACATGTCACATGTTAGACGCTTTTATCCAAAGCAACTTAAATACATGCAGTACTTTGGAAAATCCCCACAGGAGCAATTTGGGGTGAAGTGTCTTGCCCAGGGACACAACGACATGCTGAATGCAGTGGGACTCAAACTTGCTATCCCCTGATTCAAAGTCCAGCACACTAACCACTGAGCCACAGCCCCCCTATTGTTGTATTCAAGTTGAAATTGAGAGCTTGTAGGTATGACATTGGAAGTCTTGCACACAATATAAGTTTTAGGGGGTTAAAGTAGGTACTGCTGCTGCTAGTTAACTACATTAAACCACCAATGCTAACAACTTGAGAAACAAATGTAATGCAGATAATGCAAAAAAAAGACAATGATGTTATAGAA